TTGTGGTTTATGATTTTTTTTTTTTTCCTAAAAGCAAGGACTTTTTAGCCCATGGGGTTACAGAAAAAAAAAAAAGTCCCAAAAAGCAGCAGACAGATGAAAACACCACCCAAAACATTCATTTTTGGACAAGTTTCTTCACTTTGGTCATATCCCATCAGCCAAAACTTTGGAGCAGGGACAGGTTGAACCCATCATGGGAAGATATTAGGGATGGGCAGGGAAACGGGGCATTACCCTTGGATAAAACCCTACACAGGACACAGGCACACAGCACCTGAGCTGGAGGACAGGACCGCAGGGGGCTGGGGGGGCACCGGGCAGGGATGCTCCGCGCCCCAGGGATGCTGCGGGCAGGGACGAGCCCTCGCGGGCCCTTCGTGGACCAGCCTTAAGCATATTTCCACACAGCTGGAGGGAAACCCCAGCTGCAGTCCTGAAAAATAACAAATAATAAAAGTGGCTGTGAGCAGCAGCAGGGCTGGCAGGAAACATTCCCAGTAGCAGCTGCTTCCTGAGTGCGACATTTATTTGATCCCCTGGCACCATCTGGGCCATGCCCCACTCTTTGTTTTCATTAAGAGTTTAGAAAAACAATTCAGCTTTGACTAATTGCTCTTTAAGGTCCCAGGCTCGCCCTTTCTCCTCCCCCCACGTTTCCTCTCCCACCCCCTCCGTGCCCTCCATCCCCAGACTCTCCCCTTGACCCACGCCACGCCGTCTGCCTCGTCCCCACGTCCCCAGGTACCTGGCATCCCAGACAAGGCACATCTTCACGCACCCCACAGGCACCTTCCCCTCCTGCAGAGGCAGCGGTGGCACAAGCACAGGGTGCCCGACGTGCCCGGGGAGCCCCGAAGCACCCCGCTGCGGTGATGTGCAGGGCTGGGGCGCTCTGAGCCCGGCACCTCTCGGCTGGGTGGATGGGGCCGGATGCTGCGGCCAGCAGCCTTCCCCTGCACCATCCAGGGCTGCTGTGCTGTGCGTGGGCACCTCCCAAATCCTGCCGCTGCCCTGCCCAGACCCCTCACTGTCTTCTTTCCACCTCTAACACCAGCACGCTGCCCGGGGGGGGAAGCAGCCCTGCGACCCCGCTGGTTTAATCCGACGTGTATTTTCCAGCCCGCAATAATCAGCCAGAAAAACGTCGAGCCTTGATGCGAAATCCTTGCCACGCCGGGAAGGGGGGTTGTTATTGCAAAGGGCTTGCGTGTTCCCCCTCGCCCCCTCACCCCGTGTCCTCACCTGATGGCTTTAGCAGGATTCGCAGCAAGGACAAGGAACCGGAGGAATTCCGGCCCCCTAATTACACTTGCTGGGAGGAATTTGCTTTTGCAATATCCCCGCTGAGTTAACCTAACAGGCGTGGAGACGAGCTTTTCTTAGCTAATTAGCAGCTCCACCGTGAAGTCCCCTCCACGGCACGCACACGCGGGCTGGGCTGCCCCCTCCCTGAGCTCCGCGCCGCTGTTTGTCCCTGTCCCCTCACCCCTTGCCCTCTGCGATCCCCTGCCAAAGCTCAAAGCGTTTTTACGCCTTCCTACTCCCACTTTCCGGTCCTGAAAAGCCTGCTCGGCTCGAGGCAGCGGCTCCGTTTCCTCGCTCCTTCCTAACAAGCGCTTCCTGCCCCTCAGCCGCCCGCGATTATTTGCAGCTCTCCGAGCGCTGGGATTTCCTTCCCTGGAAGCCCCGCTGGCTCTGCTCTGCTGCCGCGGGCTCGGAGGGATGGATAACCCATCACTGCCGCCTCGCCAGCCCGGTTGGGATCCACAGCCACCAGCCGCTTCCCACAGCTGGGGCTGACCCCTCCATAGGGTTTTTTTTGGGGGGCACATTGGGGTCGCTGCCGCACGGGGCAGGGATGTGGGTGTCACTAACACGGGCTCGCCGTGAGCTGCTTTGGAGATGTTGACGCCCGTGATGGCATTTGATGGGCTTGGGGAAGCTCGCAGGTGGGGATGGGGTCTCAAACGGGGTCAGGATGCTTCCAAGTGCTCTGTGAAGGGCTTGCTGGTGGGGCAGTGTTACACCGGCAGTTAGACTCATACCAGAATGAGAAAGAGCAGAAAAATCAGTTTTCTGGGCCTACAAGGAGCTCTGTAACAGCCCGGCAATGCTGGTTGAGAATGAGATTTTGCCCAGCTAAAGGCACGTGCCAGCTTCAGACAGGAGCTCCCGGGCCCTCTTCCTACCCAGCAATGCGGGGTTATGACCATGGATGGGCTTCCCCATGAAAGCCAATAAACACACAATATAAATACAATGAAAGCAAACAATAAAGTGACAAACTAGAACAATAACATGAAGAAATTTAGACATCTGGAACTGCAGGGGACTGGACTCACCTGGTGGGCTATGGGAGGAGAGCAAAGCAAAGGGGGATCACAGAGATCTAAGAGGAAAGCAAACAGAAACCACAGCGAGGAGCCGGCTGAGATCTTACCAGCTAAAGCACAAGCACCTTAAATAAAATAATCCATAGCATGAGTATAGAGGAGGTTTTAGGAGACCCCAGGGCCAAATCTACCCGCCTGGAGATGGAGCAGTCCCACTAGGGGGGCACGGTGAGGGGCTGACTCCTTGGCCATGACCCCGCTGATGGAGGAGAGGAAAATTAATGCCATCCCATGCAGACAGGTCCACTGCCAACTGCTGTGGTTTGTGGTGGCTTGGGTTTCCCCAGGGCCAAGACAAGGGAGCTGCAGAGAGGCGATGCACGAGGAGACAGGGCCCTGAGGGCAGCGTGGGTGCGTGGCACGGGGGAGATGCTCTGGCATGCGCCTGTGGTGGGAGAGGAGGGACGGGGCACTGCCCTGTGACCCATTCCATCCCATGCTGAGGTCACCCAGGACACACACATGCTGTATTTGCAGTTTGCCATCACCTCACCTCACCGTGACCACCTCCCTGCTGCGGTGTGACCATCACCAGAGGGACCACGGCTGGAGCCCCTGCCCGGGGCATCCCTGGGCTGCATCACACCCATGCTGAGGACCAAATCCTGCGAGCATCGCTCTGCTCCTGACCCAAAAAGCAGGACGAGGAGTGCTCCAGGGTCACATCCAGCGGGGCAGCAGGCACTGCTCGGGGTGGAGGTATGCTGCAGGAAGCGTGACTCGGCTTTCCAGCGCGCAGGAATGCCGGGCGGCGCGGCGGCCAGCTTCCTGCCACCCACGGCACGCTTCCTGCCCCAACCCCGGCCTTACTGGAAACCCCCAGCACTGCCCAGCACGGCCGCCAGCATTTCCAGGTGGCACAGGGCTGCTGCAAGGCCCGGCCTCGCCGTCCTCCTTCCCCTCTGGCCCATGCTCCTGCGGGAGCAGGGCTTGTCTTCTTTCTGGAAGGATGGAGAAGCCAGTGGGCAATATTGGGCTTGTCCCTCCAGGGTTTGGGCTCCCTGAGCAGCACTGAGTGCCTGGGGGGCTCCTCTTTCCCCTTCCCCTCCATGCTCTCTCCCAGCCCCACATCCAGGCTCGCTGCCAGGCCCCAGCTCCTCCCTGCCTGTTGCACAGCCAGCCCAGCCCGGACTCACGGTTTCTTGCTCTTCAGCATCACCTCCTCATGCACAGGTTCCTCTCCCAGCCCCAGACACCTTCCCTGCGGGATGCTATAAGAACCCACCTTAACCCCAAACTGCTCAGAAACACCACGGATCACATCTCACCCCCTTCCAGCTCCCCGCACCCCATCCTCGTCACTCCCCAACCCCATCAGATCCCCTTTTCGCAGCTCGAACCTCAACCCCGACACCAGTGCTGTCCCCACGAGGCAGCCTGGAGCCTCCTTATTCCTTCCGCACCACTCTGAGGACAAGAAAACTCATCCCAGCTCCCTCGTGAGCATCCCCAGCACCCCGGGCAGACACCAAATCAGTGTCCCGTACAGCGCATCCCAGCCGGGCGGGAGCGCCTCGTGCCGCACCAGCAGCCCCCTAATCTCCCCAGAGCCAGTCCTTGGGGCTGTTCCTGTTCAGGCGCTGATAAAAATCTGACCAAGATGTTTTCAACAGTAAGCCGGGAGCGATTACAAAGCAACCGTCCCCTACCCTCCAGCTGGGAAAGCTCAGCCTGGAGTTTTCTTTTAGAAACAAGTGGATTTTTATTTTATTATTTTTATTTTTAGGTGCCGATGTGAACTCTTGGTGGGGCAGTCCCAAACCTGGCTCCCTGAGACCTAAAGGGAGAGGGATGGACCAGAGGCAAGGCAGAGCCCTGCTCTCCTGCTGGAGAGCCCCATCCATGGGGGTTTGCAGGATGCCACTGGGCAAAACCAGAGCTGGGACAACCCAGCACCAGTGACCATCCTGCTGGCCCAACCTGGAGACCACCAGGAGCTGACCCTTGGTTTGGCATCACCCCAATGGGGTAAATCCCTGGGCAGCTCTGCAACGACACAAGCTGCCTGTTAATTAACATAAACCACCACCTGAGGAAAACAACAATTCACAGAAAATGTTTGGCATGGGGATGGAGGACACGGCAGTTTTGGCTGCAGGACCCAAATACCTTCCTTTATAGTGCTGCCAACCCACAGCACGAGCGTGTCAGTGCATGAAAACCATTTTGTGAAATGCAGCAGGCTCATTAGCCAAAGGCATTAAGGGTGAAAATTGACCAAAATGCCCTGGAAAGTAAATCACATCTTAAAAAAAAAAAAAAAAAAAGTCCTGGATAAATGCATGTATCATGGCCAGGTCCCAGGGAACACAGAGCCGGCCCGGTGCTGGTGCACAAAGCCCCCCCTGAGCTGCTCAGCCCCGGGGTTGAGCCCAGTGCTCGTCACCTCTGGGGGAATAAAGGCTTTAATTAGCCCTTCAACATGCAGTGAAAGCACCCCCAGCTGATCCTGGGGAGCAACAGGTACTTTAAACCACCACATTTTTTAATCCCCAGAGCCATAGGGAGATTACAAGGCAGTCACTTCACGATCAGGGGAAAATTAAAAGTCCAACTTCGGTGACAACAAAAATAACGCAGAGCCACGACGTGCAATAAACAGCCAGGGACCGGCAGGCTCTTCAAACAGGTTTTTAATCTCCTCTCCCCTCTGCTCATAACATCGCCTTTATTATTTTCTGATGCGGAGCCTGATTCTCACGAGGGTGGCGGATGCTGACAGCAGAGTAATGGAGCAGCGGCAATTTTGCCCGGGCAGCCCTCGGGGATTTAATATGCTGCAGAGAGCGAGACGTGACTGAGGGGAGAGGGTGCCCGGGCCTGGAGGTGCAATAAAACCAGGGTGATAATGAGCCTGCTGGGCTGAGTGGGTTCATTGGCTCAAGTCCCTTCCCAGTTGGGCACTGGGGCTGGTGGGGAAGGTGCCCGAGGACAGGGATGGATGGGGTTGGGGACACCCACATCCTCTGTCCCAGGTCTGCCCATGGCCAAAGGCTGCCAGCCTCTCCCCACAGCCCTTGATGTGATTGCTGACCCAGGTTGTCACAAAAGAGCCCCCTTGCAGCCAAGATCCCACGTGTTTGGGACCTAGCAAGAGCCAAGGAGCCCAAAGGGGGATGCCCCAGCGCCAGCCCTGATGTCACCTCCCTGCACGTGGGAGCTGAGCTTGTGGCATCCTGCCCCCATCCCACGGGCTCCCTGGAGGTGAAGCAAGCCAGCCAGGTGTGTAGGAACAGCCCGGATGCCCTCGTCCCCATAGCCACCTGCAATCCCCTTCCCTCCTCCAGCCTGGAGCCCCTGCAGCATCCCCTGACCTGCAGCCTCCCTGGGGTCCGCTGCCGCAGCTCCTGCTCAAACACGGACACGGTGCCATGGGCTGGGCTGTCCCTTGCTCCCCAGGGAAGGTCTCTGCACAAGGTTTGGAAAAAGGAAACATGCTGAGATCTGAGCAGTGCCTCGCATGATCTCACCCACATCTGCTCCTTCGCTGCCTTACCCATCACCTTTCGCATGACCGCTCACAAAACCACCCGGATTTTGACCTGTAGCACTAAAATAACAGCACCACCAGATGCTGGAGAGCAACGTGCAATGGCAGGACACCACTGGCAACACATCGGATCTAGCTCCAAGCTGCTGGGTGCCAGCAGAGAGGTCCCATCCTGCCCATCCCTGCGGTGGAGCAGCCACGGGGAGGAAAAGCTCCCGGTGCCTCGGGTCCCCCCGCGCTGCCTGACAGCGGCACGTGACTGCGGCTGGAGTGATGGATGGGCCCGGAGCCTCTCTTTAATAGTATCTCACGGTGGTTTCCGTAAGTTGATGGAGATTGCACAACACTACCAACTGCCATGCCGGATATATTTTGCAACCAGGGCCTTTTGTGCCACATCTGTAGGATGATATGCCAGAGCCTTCTGAGGAGGCCCGGGGAAGTCTGAGCACAGGAAGAAAAAAAAAAAAAAGAAAGAAAAAGGAAAGAAAAATAATAAAAAAAATAGTCAACAAACCCCTTTCCATAGCAGCTATTTTGGTGAGGCACCCTGGGGTGAGGGGAGCGGGCACCAGCCAGCTCGGAGGCGTGGAAGCCCCGCAGCTCTGCCCCACAGCAGCAGCCAGGAGAAGACCTCTCCCACGGGTGGGTGGCAGTGTCCCCAAAATGCTCAGCCAGGGCTGTGGGATGGCCAAAGCTCACCGAGAGCAGCCGCAGGTCTGAGCTCCCCGGGGAAGAGGTGCTGCTGAAGCTCGGTGGAGGTGTTGGCCAGCTCCGGGCTGTCCCAACTGGTGGCTCTGGGAAGTGCTGTCCCTGTCCTGGTGGCTCATGCCATCTCCCATCCCCTCAGCCTCTCTCTAAAAGACAGAAAAAGGAGCCCAGGACACATGGACAAGGCTAGGGATGTTGGTGAAGGCACCAGCCCAGCTGATGCCTCGTGTCCTGGACAGCAGCGACCCAAACCCCTGCTGGCTCTCAGCATCAACCTGGATATTAGCGCTGCACCTTTCCACCCTCAACAGCCTTAAATACACAGCACAGCCCCAAATGCACACAGACTAACACATGCCAACATAGGATCCCCATAAAACTGCCTTCCTTGGAAAGGTTTGGGGCTCAGTCAAAGGTTTGGGCTCGTAAAGGTTTTGGGCTCATCCTGTTGACTCCATCAGATGAAGGAGGTCAAGGAAAGGAGACTCCAGGACTGCTGTGTTCTCAGATTCACATGCAGCCATCAGCCCCTGATTTATGAGGAGGGACAATCTCCATCACAGAGGACCTGAGATGTTGCAGGCAGGGCACCCAAGGTGTTGGCTGGTCCCTGCATGAGGTTGCTCCTCAGCGAGGAGGTGAGGATGCAGAAGGAAACACAGAGCCAAGGCTTTGGAGGTGCTCAGGGCTTAAGTGGCTGAAAATGAAAGCGCTGGGACACTTTTTCAGCCTGCACTTGACAGTGGGGATGTGATAACATCGGAGATGCTGAGCGCAGAGCATCTCTTGTGGAAGATTGATGGTGCCAGCAATGAACCGAGCCAAAAACATCACGTCAGGCTCTGTCTGCTCGGAGCTGAGCACTGCCATGTGGGAGATCCCAAAAAGCTGGCTGATACGGGGCCAGCCATGGGTTACCCAACAGCAGTGAGCCAGGCATGGTGCTGTGTCATCCCGCTGCCCCGTGCTGGGTTTTTGCTTTTATCCCTGAACCCAGAGGGCTGGTGACACTTCACATACCAGCTAGATCTCTCCGGCACTGTCCACCTCATTTTGGGTGTCTTGGTGCCAGCTTTGGCAGGCAGGCATCCAACTCCCCTCTGTCCTGAGCTGCAGAGATAGAACAAGAGCGTGGTGATCCCAGTGTTACCAACCCTGCCCTCATTCTGAGAATCCACCTGGGAACGCCCAGACACCCCAGGAAGCACCAAATTCCCTCTGATGCCTTAAATCCAGCCAGATTTTGTCACACTGAGGCACTGATGGACCAAACATTGGTCACTGGCTGCCAGGCATGCTCTGCCAGCCCCTTCACCCACAGCCAACTGCAATAACCACCCACCGTGCTCACCTAACGATGCTGTCAGCAATACCCACTAATCGTTAATTATTATTTATCACTGCTGCTGCCTAATGCCTGCTGGGGAGGTTAAATAAACCAAACACTGCCACAGATGCTGCCCATGGCATGGGGAGCAAGGATGTGGAGGAATAACAGGGAAAACAACTTTCCCATTTCCACCCCTCGCTCTTGGAAAGAAAAAAATAGGAAGAGGAACAAAAATATCCCTTTCAGAGCAAGGATGTGGTGAGGGCCCGACAGCCTCCCTGACACACGAGCCAGGATGCGGATACTCTGGCTTTTCCAGGAGGAAAGGAAGGATTTTACCATCTCCTCTGGCTAACGAGGATTTAATTCATCCTAGCTCTGGGCAGGCGTTGGCAGTGCCGCATCCCCTCACCTCCCTCGCTGGCAGGCAGCCCCTGCCTCAGTTTCCCCACCTGTAAATGAGGATAGCTCATCTATGGCAGAGCTTAATCTGTTGCCACAAAGCCCTGGGAGGCCTGCACACCTTCCTCCATCCATCATCATCATCTCAGAGGTGACCACAGGGTTTTTTGGGGTGCAAAGAGCAGGTCCCAGGCAGCTGCCCTTTGGGGCTGGGCCCTTCTCCCCTCCCCTCCCGCAGCAGTGGGCTCCCTCCCCTCGTCTCCTTCCTGCACGGGCCAGAAGCGGAGCCAAGCTAATAATTCAGATGACAGAATTAAACTGATCCTGATTAGAAAAAGCCTTTACCCTGAAGAGAGCAAAACCTGGCTCCGGGCTGCCCTGTAATCCAATAGTCTCCCACGGCTGCCGCAGCGAACCCGAAACCTGCCTCCAGGCAGAGGCACTTTGTCCTGGAACAAGGGAAGTTAAATGTGTCTTAATGGGAATTTTGACACGTTTTGCTTTGATTTCACTAATGTTACAGAAGTAGCTGTTAGGAAATATTTCAGCCCCCCTGTGCGGGGCTGGACCCTTGCGAGAGGGACGATGGCTGAGGGGCCGTGGTGCCCGGTCTCCCCCCAGTTCCCTCGGTGCAAGGGCTTCATTTTGGGTCTGTTGGGGAGCCAGGAGCCCCCCAGGTTTGCAATGACACCTGTGGGACAGCTGCCATCACAGATGAGACCTGTTCAAGCCCTTTGTAAGGCCAAAAAAAAAAAAACAAAAAGGTTTCATCAATTTATTTCCACCAAAACAGCAGCTGGCATTTCCCTGACCTTCGGTAATTTGGGGCTGGGGGGAGTCCACCCAGCATTAAATGCACCCCACTGACCTTCCTGGTGCTTCCCAGTCCCGGTTCAGCCTGGTGGGCATCCTGCTGGGCTCACAGCTCGCTCCCAAAAAGTCTCAGCCCGATAACAGGAGTTAGTGGATGCCACGGGGCATGTCCTGGTGCAGCCCAACTGCGAGCACAGGCAGATACAGCACAGTGTGAAGATAAAAAAAAATGACAAATGGATGGGATAAGGCTTCACTGGTGAACGTGCTCAGATGGGAAGCTCAAAAAAAGCCAAAACAAGGCTACTCTTCCCCCAGCATCTCCCCCAGCACAAGGCAGAGCCTTCTCAAGCCCCACAGGGACCAGGTCCCACCTCCAAACACAGGTGCCCATAGCAAGGCTGCTGCAGGGCAGGCAAGGAGGGCAAAACCCCATGCAGTGGGGACAGCCCAGCACAGGACAGCACTAATTTTAGCAAGCCTGAACACAATTACCCCAACTGGACCACTTTAAACAAACAAACAGCAGGGTTGGGGGGTTGCAGGAGGCATCTCTGTGCGCCTCCCCAGGGACCGTGTTTACTCACAGCAGCTTTTCCTGCCCCTGCAGCCCCATCCCCACCTCGGCCCACGTCTGTGAGCTGTTTTTTGTTGGTTTAACGCGATGCTGCGATTCTAACCCAGAGCCTCGGACTGTCAAACAGTTTTTCTTTTATTTTTTTTTTCCTTCAGGAAAAAAAAAAAAAAGAAAAAAATACAGCTGAACTAATTTGATGAAAGGGGAAAATAAAACGTAAGCCAGACTAAACACATGCAGTTCCTACCTACAGCCAGGGCCCAGCTTCTCCCAGGCCAAAGTCAACACACGTCAATTTTTAACATGACAGGGCTTTAAAAGGGAGTTTTGAGCCCTGGATGAGAGGCGGCTGGAAAACATTAATAACAAGGTCTGTCAATTAAAGGCAAGCATGACATGCCACCAAGACAAGGGCTGGGGGTTTTCCCTTCCTTCCCTTCTCTTCCCTCTTAATTTGATGAAAAAAAAGGGATTTATGGAGAAATCCATCCTTTCGTCCAAGAAATGCAGCCGCATTACCAAATGAAGGATGGTCTTTGTTTAGGAGCCTTGAAAAGAGCCCAGCAGAAAAGGGTCAAAATCCCCAGGTTAAGGAAAGCACTGCCCCGAGGGATGCTCCCAGCGCTGCTCCCGATTCACCTGCATCCAGGGAGCCGTGGATGTGCCTGGGCAGGGTGCTCAGCTCCTGTGCTGATGTGCTTGGTGCACTGGAAATTGCTATTTTGGGTTCCAGAGGGGGAAAAAAAAAAAAAGCTTTTATCAGTCCCATAGGAAGCATTGCCATGGTTCTGTGGGCTGGGCAGGTTTCTGCCCAAAGTCACTCGCTTGTCTCCAAAACAGAGCTGGGAAAAACAAGGGGAAGGGCAGTGCAGCACAGCCTGACCAGCTTCTGGGGGTGAAGGCAAAATCCTTCATGGGTAAGGGGAGTGGGAGCTTCACTAGGGGTGGAGGGGAAAGGGCTTTCCCCCAAATTATGAGAATTATCTGTGCTGGGAGCAGGGTGCTGGGCTCTGCAGCAGCGTCAGTGGCTCTCAGCTGCGGGAGCAGGTAAAGATCCAGCCGAAGTGGGAACCAGCCGAGATTCATTTCTCCCTCAACACCTAAATAAACACTGCGCCCACAGCCACACGCTGCCCGCCCGGCGGTGTGCGTTACACATCCACAGCGCAGGAACCGGCCGGCGCAGCGGCTCCGATATCCCGGCTGCAATATCCTGTCCCCGACAGCGGCTCAGCCAGATGCCGTGGGAGGTGTAAAGAGCCCGCAGCAGCCGAACACAGCCTGCTCTGCTGCCCAGCACTGGCTATTCTGGCCTCCAAAGGGCAGAGGACCCTCCTGGAGACCCCCATGCACGGGCATCGCACCCACCCAGCACATGCTGCAGGGCTGCTGCGAGGAGCAGGGTGCAGGATGCGGCTCTGCTGCCCCATACACCGCTTGCCAGAGCGTAATGGGTGAGCTGGGCTCCGGCCCTGTTCTCAGATTGTGTTTCGCTTTCCCTGGCCCAGCATCCGAAGCCTCCTTCCAGCACGCACGAGGCTCATTTGGCGAGGGCAGGCAGGGCCAGCACAGGCTTTTTTCAAACAGGTCCCAAGGCGGTGAAAAGCTCTGCCACCAAAAAGCCAGGCTGGGATTTCAAGACAAAGCCTGGAAAGCCTTTTGCTGCTGCCCACAGCCCTCACCTGGAACAGTGGCACCTCCACAGCTGGAGAACAACCTGCCCCAACAAAGGGAACACCTGGGATGGAGTCGATAGCTCCTCATGCTCATCATTTAAATTGTTAGCTCTGGGGGTGCTGACAAGCCCCCTGCACCACCCCACGGGGCTACCACCGGCTGTCAGCCCCGCACTGCCAGCACAAAGCCCAGGACACAGGTAGCAGGACCTGGGATGATTTATGCCTCCGCAGCAGATGCATTGTTCAGGGTTTTTCAAGACGTGCTGTCAGCCCCGGCTCGGAGGAGACAAAGCCGGGGGAGCCGACCGCCCTGCGGTGAGCGGGGACCATCCCTACGTCTCAATCCCTACAGCTGCCTGCTGTCACCGTGCCCACACCACCCTCAAGCACACGGGTCCACCCCGAGCTGCACTTCACACGTGCTCCTCTCATCGTTCTCCAAATTTCCAGCACAGCCTCACACACTGCCCTCAGCCCTGCCCTCCTCCGGGCAGGCAAAGCAGCCCCACGCTCCCTGCAGCATCACACAGCACAGACAGAAATATCGAAGGAGAGCCCTTCTAAATCAAGTTCGTGCCCCGTGTCAAGACAGGTTAGCCTTCCCCCTCCCCAGATAAAGGGTACAGATGTTAAACTGATGCCACGTTTGATCACAACCAAAAAGCCAAGAGGGCTTCAAACGTTCATTCATCTCAAGCTGCAAGCGCGGCCGGTTCTCGCTAATCAGATAATTGCTCTGCTTCTTCCCCAGCACGAAAAGCAGCCAGGCGGCGTGAAGGTTTCATTCCTCCACGGGACCCTGCTCAGAGCTGGGCTCGGAGATTTGCAAGAGGTTTCCTCCCTTTCGAGAGGCGGTGCTGGGGATGTGGGGCTGGATTCAGGAGGATCGGGCCCCGGACTCAAGCTTCCTGCTCGAGATGAGCGGCTTTGGTCTAAGCGCATTGGGGCTGTTGGCATCTCCATGAGATCAGGGGAGCCATGAGGGATCAGCAGGGTTTAAATCCTTCTCAAACTCCACAAGATCATTTCAGACAGCACGGGGAGTGAGGACAAACCAACACCTCCAGCATGGCACGAAGCGAGCAATGAGCAGACCAAGCTGCCCATGAGGGCCTGACGGAGCAGAGCAGCACAAGGAGATTTTCTTCCCGGAGACGTCTGCTGGAAGCAGTCTGAAACAATTCCATTTATGTTGCTTTTTAATAGCAAGGTCAGCTCCTTTCTTCCTACCCCGACATCCTCCATCAGGGCCTCTTTCTGGGAACTCGCAGCAATGTGCCAGATGTCAACGAGAGACAGAAAAACAACCGGGGGCCAAACTGGGGCGTTTTGCCACTGCCCCCAATCCCAAACCGCACCGAGCTGCCTGAGGTGTGTTTGTAGGGGGTGAATAACACCCCCTGCTCCTTGCTGTGCTCAGGAACGGGGTGAAAGATCTCCTCTGCCCCAGCTCTCCCAGTAGCATCACCCCCAGCCAGTGCCCAGCTCCCTGCTCCTCGGGGACAAGGGGGTGGCCGTGCCACCGAGCAGCTCCCCGACCCCTCTGGGACTCAGACCCTTGTGCTCAGCCCCCTGTGCTGCTGGCCACCAGCAGCAGACCTTGCAGGAAGGCCAGAGCCACTGGGGGAGTCCAATGTCACCACCCCAAGGAGCAGAGGAGCTGTTGGACCACCCCGTTTTGGGTGGAGGACGTGGTTATGGCCAGATTTCTAGGGGGGACTTTCAGAGTTGCAGACCCCAGGCACTCAAACACCACGTCAGCCGCTGCCCAGGGCGAGGAGGATGCAGTAGGGAAGAAAAGAAACCACAAGGCTTAAAAAAAGAAAACCACCTACATTCGGGGACACTCTGTACTCCTCTTCAAACTTTCAGCTCAGGGCATGTTTCCAGGCTTCTTCCTTTTAATAAAAAAACCCAAGAGCAGGAACAGCAGGAACACAGCCCCCTTCTTTCCAAAGGCAGGTAAGGCATCCAGTCCCAGGATCCAGGGCTAAAACCACAAAGCTTTAGCCCTAAAAACACAGCTCCCTGCCCTCCTCTGAGAGGGGCAGAGACCAAAGGGAGGGGAGAGCCCAGGTGGGGGCTTTTATAGGTACACAGGTGTCCCCGGTGAGTGAGGCAGGTGGGGAAGCAAAGGCTGTGAACAGAACCACAGGTGTGGACGGCCACGGGCACAGGTTCCCTCCCTCAGTTTTCCAGGTTTTCAGGAGTGACCTTGGGAAAAAAAAAAAAAAAAAAAAAAAAAAAAAAAAAAAAAAGGAAGAGCCGTAGTTCTTCATGTCGAGGGTGATAACCCGTTTGTCACCGTGCGGGCTGTCTGAAGGCTGCCCAGGTTTTACTTTATTGCGTTCCTGGGTGTCACCAAAACCCAGCTGAATTACTCTGCCAACTCCATCATAAAATAAATAAATAAAATAAAAAAGGGGGGAGAAAAAAGTGACTTTGCTTTACGTCTCCGCAGCAGGCTGGAGACCGGTGCTTAGACCTCTCCACTTTATCTTATTTTTTATTTTATTTTATTTTTTTTCGTGAAACCGCTGAAACCAGCAGGTGAAAGGCTCCGAGCCCCTCAGCGGGACAACCTCCCCGACCCCTAAATCGGGTGCGTTTCACCACCGCACCTGCGACCCCCCCGAAATCACCAAGCGCTCCGGGTGCCCCCCGGTCCCCACCCTGTGCGCCCCCACCCCGGGCTCCGGCCGCCGGCGGAGCGGGGCCGCGCTGCGCGTCCCCGGGAGATGCTGGGGGGGGGGTCCGGTCCCCCCCCCCACCCCGGGCTGCCCCTGCCCGGCCGCTGCCTCGCCCCGCTCAGCCAGAAGGTGACGCCGTCCGCCCGCAAATTGCTGCCAGCCCAATTAGGCGGCCGCTATCGGCTGCAATCACGGCTGCTGATAGAGATAAATGGGGAAGGCGCTGTCTGCGCGACAATAGTGGTGGTGGCTTCTTTTTTTTTTTTTTTTTTTTTTTTCCTTAAAGGGTGGGGAAAAGGAAAAAAAAAACTTTTTTTTTTTTTTTTAAAAAAAAAAAAACAATTGAACTTTTCATCAGCTGCTAATCATGATTTTTTTATTGCTTTGCTTAGCATTTTCTGGGGAATAAAACCTCAGAGGAGCCCAGCCTTTTGTGGAAAATGAAAGGGCATATAAAAAAATGAATGTACATGGATTCTAAATATTTCAGGTTGTATGACTTTGTGTTTGACCTTAGCAGAAGATGAACTAATCCTGCAATATAATAGACTTTCATAGAGATATGGAAAATGGCTGCTTTTTTATCTCAGTTGCCATGGGAACCATCAGAGAGAAGGCCTAGCTGAGATGCAATAGAAGGTTATTAAATGTGTGCTTGTGTATATTGGAAAAATACAGCTTTTTGTCATCTTGTGTCACTCATAGGTCTTTAATACGTAATGTTTAGGTTATTAATAAACTAACACAGGTCCATTTTTTATGGGGAACAACTGTGAATACAGCCATAAAAAAATTAGTACAAGTTGAACATTTGCAAAACTCTTGAGCACGGGCAGGGGCTGGATGGGGCTGCTGCTCGCCCAGAACGTCCCACAAAAGTTTCTCTCCTTTTCCAGGAGAAGGAAGGGGTCAGACGAGCCCTCCTCGCCCACCGCAGAAGCCAGGCACCCCTCTGCCCTTGCCAGATGGGCAGAAGGGACTGGGGCACTGGGGACATCCAGTTCCTAACGGGGCAGTGCTGGGGACAGAGGTGTGCAGAATAAAATGCTGCCTTGTGCCGTGACCGGGCACCGGTCAGAGGATGCCAGGGAAAGAGGGAGCTGCGGGGATGTCTATCCCCGGCTCAGAATCACCTGCCCTGGAGGCGGGCGGGTTGCGAGGTGGTGGTTGTTCTGTTGGCATTTTCAAAAATAAAAATAAAATTAAAAAATAAAAAGGAAGAGGAGAAACAAGAAAACCTGGAAAAAAATGAGGAGAAAAAAAAAAAAAGAAAAAGAAAAAAAAAAAAAAAAGGAAGGAAAAAGAAGAATAAAAGGAAAACAGAAAGGGAAGAAAAAAAAAGAAAAACAAAGCCAGAAAGAAAAAAGGCTGATGCTGCCCTGAGCAGACTTCGCTGTGACTCCAGGAGGGAGAAAGACTCCCTTTTTGTGGGGTTTTCTTTCCTCCCCCGTGCTCACCGCTCGCTCCCCAGGCTCAGGATGCCCGCGGCTGGAGGGGGGCTCCCCATTTTGGGGTCCTCCGCTCCCCTCCCCGGGGCTCCCCAGCGCAGCACAGCCAAATATCGAAGATGGGCACCTTGCAAGGAGGTTTTGCCATCCCACCCCGCTCCCCCGGCTCGGGGACGGGCTGGGGACGCTCTCCTCGCCCCAGCTCAGGGCTGCGTGTGCTGAGAGCCCCGGGGGTGTCCCAGGCCCGGCGGGGGCACCCCGCACGCACCGCAGCCCGGCGTCCGTGCATACTAAGCAAGGCAAGGAACACATAGATTTTGCCTATCTGCCGATCAAACGCGGAGATCTGCTCTGGTAAATGATGCATTAGATGTGGTGGCTGTATTTGTTGTGTGAGTTTTGAAAGGGTTCCGATAATCTGGAAGCGAGAGATAAGGAACACCATTTATTCAGCAGCACTTTGGAACCAATTTTCAACCCTGTTCAACCCCATTCTCCAGCAGCCTCCAGGAGCCCAGGAGATAAGGATTGGGCTATTCATTATCTTCACAAGGAACAAAGATTAGCTAGCAGAGATGAAAAATTACCCCTGGATAGTAATAATAAGGAAGCGAACCTGGAGAGTTGCTGAGCCTATATTCTCCCTGCTGCTGGTGCTGCTTCTTCTCTTTTTTAAATTCTCTCCCTCTCTTTTTTTTTTTTTTTTTGAATAAATATTGAAAAGGTTGGTTCTTTTTTTTTTTTTCTTTCCTTTTTCCTTTTTTTTTTTTTTTTTTAGGAAAAAAAAAAGCGCTTTCCTTGCTGTCTATCATATTTTTCCTCTGCAGAATATGGTTGTTACCGTGGAAGAGAGCTGAGCGCGGTCCCCCCTTCCTCCCAGACTTTCAGATGACATCTTTAGTACAGAAGCTAAACGGCAGAGGAAAACAGCCTTCTCTTCCAGCGGGCATGAAGGGGAAGCAGCACCCCTCCTCCTTGCCCCCAGTGTCGCCGCTGCCACTCGGGGGTGGCCCCGGGACAACCCGGGACAGCAGCGCCAAGAGCCTGGGCTGCGCAGCCCGGCTCCTCCGCGGGTCTCTCACCCCCCTGAGCCCTCTGCTCGGACACCCCCTCTGTCCCCGCTTAGGGGGAAATCTGCAGGCTTCGAACCCCGTTTTTCCCGTAGTTTTTCCGCCGGGGCGATGCTCCCTCGTTTTGGAGTCGTTCCGTGCCGGGGCGATCCCAGGACGCGGCTGGCGGCACCGTCTCCCTCTTCCTGGGCGCAAGGGAAAAAAGAAGGGGATCTGTACAGATGTGTATATTTTAATAGCACATTCTTTTGTATTTTTTCCACTGCATAAATCTGGGGATGTATCTCCTCTCAGAGGATGAAGGGTAATACAGGAGGAGTAATTAAAACACTTACTTTAGAAATGGGCTGCGTGGGGCTGATAAGAATTATCTGCCGCATATCAAGGACCCTTTTTCCCCCGAACCATATCACAAAGACAGACAGAAAATGCCAGCAGAATAGGATTCCCCCCTACCCCTCCCCTGCTCACATTTTTACCTCCATTATGATGATAATTCCTCTCCCGCGAAACTTTTTCTCCTTCCCTTCCCGAACCGTATTTCGTTCCCCCGCTCCCGCAGGGCCCCCGCCGGACGGTCCGGCCTTTTGTCTCTGCATTAATACGCTTTGCCCGCAGCTTTGGGGCGGGGGGCTCGCCGCCCCCTCCCGGAGAATCGCGCCGCGCCCCGCAGCGCCCCGCCGCTGCCCCCGCTGCCCCCCGCGGCGCGACCCCCGCGGCGCGACCCCGGCGCCCGCGACCCCATCCAGCCTCCGGGGGCTTGGCGAGGGGACCCCCCCCGGCCCCTCACACACACACACACACACACACACGGGCAGCAGGAGGAAAAGGCACAGCAGGTGAGGAATGGCCAAGACGGGGCTGGGGCGAGCAAACGTTTCCCAAACCGTTCGTTTTGGCTGAATCGCCTTGGTGGGCTGTGAAATGTGTGTTTTGACCGTTTCTTTTCTACCTATAAATTGACTCCGTCGTGTGCTATCTGCTTGTGCCTCTTCCAGCTCCCCCGCTGCCTCTCTTAGGTGCAGGTGCATAGCACGAAAGACTGAGTTTGGGAAGGGAGAGCGGGGAGAAGAGACACGAGGTTACACCAAAAAAATAAAAACCAGGCTGGACAATACAAAAAAAAAGAATCACCCCCGTCACCAGGGAGTGGAAACTAAATTAATACGAATAGTAATATTTTATAGCCATAATTGATAGTACAAAGCGGCTCCCCCCACCCCACCTTCCCTGGGATCCAGAGGCAGAAGCGAGCGGCTCGGGGCTGCGGCGCCCGGCGTGCTGGAGCCCGGCTTCCCAGCGCCTGGGATGTGAGCGTGTTGTTGGTGTAATATCAATTCATTTAAAATATGAAAGTCAAGTCGCGTAGACTGTGACAGCAACCGTAACAAAAGGTGCAAGCAACAGACAATGTGATGTGCTTGTACCGATATTGTAATGATGCAAATGAAGTGGAGGGGACGAGCTGCCTTATTATGTACATAAATACACAGTGGCTCGCTGTGCCATCCTTGAATGCAGGAGAGGGAGAGAGAGAAGGGGAGGGAAAGAAGGGAGAGAGGAAAAGAGAGGGAGGGAGGGAGGAAGGGAAGGGGGGAAGGAGGGAGAAGAGAGAGAGAGAGAGAGGAAGAAAAAAAAAAAAAAAAGGGCTCAGCTCGAAAACTGCTGCCAGTTTTAAGCAGAGCGCACCTCGGGCAGCCCCTCCGCAGGGCTGCGCGCTCCCACCGCCGGGGCACGGCCGCGCTCCCGGAGCGGGCAGCCGGGGGAGGCTCCCCGCGGCCGGCGCCCCCTCCCCAGCCCTCGGCAGGGGAGAGCAGGGGCTTTCCAGGCACCGGGCAGAAAACTGAAAGAAAAACCCCGGACGGGAGAAAGCCAAGGTAAGGGGATGCGGCTGCGCGGCTCTGCGCGGCCCCGGGGGCGGGCGGGCGGGGGGCACCGGGGTCCCGCCGCCGGAGCGCAGCGCTCCGGGCGGTTTCCTCCCCGGCACCGGGGACAAAGTGGTGGGGTTTTGTATAGAACGAAAAAAGACCCCCCCCTAAAAAAAAAAAAAAAGCCCTGAAGCCCTGCACCCCCCCGGCAGCCCCCTCCCGTGGGGCCGGTTCCAGGCACGGCGGAGCCGCGGGGGCTTTGCCGGGGCGCACCGGCACCCTGCGGAGAGCGGGGCCACCGGGCCGCGGTCCTTGGTGTCGCTTTTTTTTTTATTTTTTATTTTTTTTTTCTCCCCCTTCATTGTCATCAGGATAATTATTTAAATCTCCACCTTTGAAAGTTGCATTTCACCCAGGGCGGCCCGGGCAGACGCATCCCGGAGAAAGGGTGTGCAAAGCCCCCTCCCCGCAGCCACATCCTATCTCCTCGCTCCCATTGTTGGCAGATTTGGGTATAAAAAAAAAATAGAGAAAAAAAAAAAAAAAACCGCGAGGGTTTGTTCTGCTCTCGAAAGCCGCGGCTCGGCAGGGCCCGGCCGCTCTCCCCCTGCACCTGCCTGCCGGGGAGTCCTCCCGTCCCAGTCCCGTGCGGCAGCTTTACGGGGCTTTGCATGATTTAAAACTACCCAGCCACATCGGGGACCCGGCCGCTCCTCTCTGCTGGCTCCTCCAGCGCCCTCCCTCTCTCTCCCTTTTTTTTTTTTTTTTTTTCTTTTTTTTTGTTTGTTTTTGTATGTGCAAAGTTCCCCTCTTTATCCTCCTTTTGCTTTGGGGTGCAGAAGCTGGAAGGCAAAGAGAGGAAAAAAAAAAAAAAAAATCCACCAGGAGCGGAGCCTGCCTGGATTTGAGGCGATTTCAATAAGAAAAGCGATTTCAATAAGAGGGGTGCGGGTTTTGGTCTCGGGGATTGTTCTTCCCGAGAGCATCTTTATTAATTAAAAGCTTTTTTTTTTTTTTTTTTTTTTGGTTTTTAAACTGTCGGAAGTGTAAAAACCCCGGCCTGGTTCAAGCCCCGGGGAAAGGCGGCCGGGGGCGGCGGGGGCAGCCGCGGGCGGTGCCGGTGCCGGTGCCCGGTGCGAGCCGAGCCCGCGCCCCAGCCAAGTTTTGCCTGCGGAGAAACAACCGCAACCTGCGGGCCCGGCCTCTGTCCCCGCTCCTCAAACAGCTGCGTCCGAAATAACCTTAAAAAATAAAATAAAATACAAAGTGCAGCGAGTTCCCGCGAACGAAATCTTCCGTGGCAGCGCCTGAAAATCAGATTTATACCTTCCTCTGGACAAACGCGTGCGTGCGCAAGCCTCCCGCACGAGTTTTTCTTTGGGAACTTGCAAAAAAAAAAAAAAAAAAAAAAAAAAAGAGGTGTCGTGGCGAACCTGGGGCTTTTTCTCCGCTTTGTGGCAGCCGGGGGGGGCTGCGCCAGTGTGCGGGGGGCACCCGGTGGCTTGCGGACAAAGCGCAGGTGAAGGAGGTGAAGGAGGAGTGGCACCGGGACGCAGGGTGGCACCGGGGGCTCCCACGCTGGGGGACAATTTTCTGGGGACAAATTTTCTGCGGGTAGGGGACACCGAGGAGGCTTTTAGAGGATTTACCAAAAAAAAAGAAAAAAAAAAAGGTATTCCGTGATTTATTCCCCGAGACTTTTTTTTTTTTTTTAATGCAGCCTAAATAGGGTCCTGTGGTTAAGAGGTACCACCGTCGTTTTCTGACCCTATTAGCGGCCATAATATGTGCTGCTAACGCAGGACGGAGGTGGGTGGGCTGGGCTGGGGGGAAAGCAACGCGGAGACAAGACCAGAGGGAGAAAAAAAATGGAGAAATAATTAAAAATAAAGGCAGAAAGCAAGAAGTTGCCCTCTCCAGAAAAAAAAAAATAAAACAACCCCAAAGAAATAAAACCCGCCGGGGGGGCTGCAGCCGGGCCGTGCGGGGCTCCCGGCCGCCCGGGGGGGCTCGTACCTGGGGGAGGCGGGCGGTGGGAGCCGGCCCCCGGCTGGCTGCTCCTCTACCTGCCCCCGGCGGGCGGGGGGGTCGGCGCTACGCCCACTGGCGGCCCTGCCAGCCCCCTCCCCGCCGGGGGCAGCCGCCTTCCCCGGCCCGCCCCGGGGCTCGCACACCGCCCGCCGGCACCGGCGGCACCAGGCTGCCGTGAGTACCGCGGCCCGGCCCCGTGGCCGAGCGCTTCTCTGCCTCTTTTGCTTCCTTTTCGCTAAGGTTGGGGGTTATTTGGATCAGGTTTTTGTTATGTTATTTTTTTTTTTTCTTCCCTCCCTGCTTGCGGCCGCCGGGGGTTGCGCTTCGGGGAAAGGCGGTGGAGGGGTGGGGGGGGGGATGCGCGGTCGCCCCGGAAGGTTTCGGGAAGGTTTCGTCCCCTTGGGGTGCGTTAAATGGGTGGGCAGGAGGCAGTGGGGGCCCCGGGGGGCCTGCCGGGGACACCCCGAGAAGGGGCTGATGGAGGGGACCGCCCCCGGGTCCCATCCTGCCGGCCCTTTCCCCGTCGACTCAGGTACACTTTTTTTTTTTTCCCTTGATCCGAGCTCCCAGGGTCAGGGAAAAAAGGAAAAGAAGAAAAAAAAAAAGAGGGGAAAAAAAAAAAAAGGAAAAAGAAACAAACCCCACTCCAGGCGTGTAAATAAATAGCGCGCGTGTACGGCTGGGGATATTTGTTTTCTGCCTTCGCGTCTGCCCGGGCATAGGTGTCAACTCCATCACAAGGCGCTACTAAGTGCTGCTAAAACATGTTGTCGTCCCCCCCCCCCGCGATATGACATCACTTGTCAATCAAATCAAAATAACCAGTTGTGCTGCCAGATGTGGGAAATCTCTTACTTAAAAAAAAATAGCAACGCCGATAACAAAATAAAGTTAATAAAACCGAGCCCCTTGGATAGGAATAATAAAAAAAGGAGAAAAAGAAAAAAAAAAAAAAAAAAGGAAGGGGGTTGAAAGTGGTGGGGGCACCCTGGGCTCGTCCCGGCTGCGGGGCCCCGCTCCCGGGGGGGCTGCAGCAAATTGCCCGAGAGCCGCCCGGGCAGCCGTGTGAAGCGGGCTGCGGAGCGGAGCTAAGCTGTTGGGCTTGCTGCTGCTCCCGGCGGGGGAATTAATTCAATTAAAAGCCCCAGCCCAGCTCAGAGCCGGGCACCGCCGCTCGCCAACGGCGGGGATGGGACACGGCGGGGGGAAAAAGATTAAAAAAAAAAAATTAAAAAAATAAAATAAATAAATTTAAATAAAAGCAAATCTCGGGAGGCGAGCTCCGGGCTGAACTGCGGGAATCGAGCCGCTGCTTCGGCAGGAATCGTTTCTCCCTGCCGGAGGGGTCAGTGGTTTTGCAAAGGGGCTCGGGAGCACGACGACAGGCGCCGGCCGCGGTGCCACCAGCTCGGGGGCGGCCGGACCCCCCCGGGTGGCCGGCGACCGAGGCGGGGGGGGGGGCCCGGAGCCGGAGCCGGCGCTGCCCGCTCGCCCCTTTTGTTTTTGCTTCTCCTGCCGGCCCCCGGGTAACCCGAGCCGGGGGCTTCAGGGAGCCCTTGCCGGGCAGCTCCGGGGTCTGCCTCGCCATAAATCAAGCCGCCTGATTAATCTTTACAATTTGTCTTTTAAAACAAACACGAACGAATTATCAGCTCGTTAACTGCGATTTTATCACCTGCCTAAAACAAACAGCCCACCCCCTAGCCCCCCCATCTTTCCCCCCCTCCAAAAAAAAAAAAAAAAGAAAAAAGAAAAGAAAAGAAAAGAAAAAGAACCGCGGCCCCGTGCTGCTGGCAGCCGGGCAGTAATTATAATTAAAACATCCCCAGGAATTAATAAGGGAGCAGCTGCCCGGGAGGTGCCCGGTGGCCCGGGCCGGGGGCGGCGGGCACGGCTCGGCCCGGCTGCGGTCAGAGCAGGGAGCCGCGGGACCTACCTGGGGTTATTTTATACTCACCCCTCTTTAAAAAATAAAGAAAAGGAAAAAAAAAAAAGAAAGGAGACAGAAAGAAAGAATCCGTTTGGGGGAAATACTCGGCTGCCTTTGGTGGGTTGCTCTTTGCGTGTGGAAAGCGAATGGCTTCGGACGTGGAAGGAGAAGCCGGATTTTTAGAAAGCTCGCTTGCTTCTCGCTCTGCCTTTTAACTTTTTTTTTTTTTTTTTTTTTTTTTTTCCTCGCTTTGTTTCCCTTTCCTCCCTGGCACCTCCGGCCTAAGGCTCCCCGAGCGCGCTCCGCAGCAGAGCAGCGCGGGGGGCACTCGCCCTCCCCGACCCCTCTCCCCCCGAGCCCGGCCCAGCTCCCGTCTCCTCTCCCGGCCCTTCCCGGGCCAACCAACCCGACCCGGCCCGGGCCAAGCCAAGCCGGCTCCGCCGCCCCTTCCGTGCCCTGCAGCCGGCGGAGGAGCCGCCGCCCGCCCGCCGCTTGCGACCCCCCCCGGCGGCAGGAGGGGGCGAGGGGCTCCGCCGTGTCCCCCCCCTGCCGGGGTGACCCCGCTGTGGGGTGCGGGACACCCGCGGAGGGAAGGCTGTGGGGTGGGGGGAGCGGTGCCGGGTCCCCCTTCCCCAGCCTCCCGCACTCCCACCCCGCCGGGCTGCCCTGGAGGGTCCCCGAGGGGGGGGGGGCGACAAGGGGTGGGCTAAGGGGGGACACGGCGAGTGCAAGGGGGGGACAGCGGTACGGGAGGGAGCCCCGCGTCTCTCCAGCCAGACGTGCTCCGCAGCGAGGAAGGGGAGTTTATTATTATTATTACCGTCATCATCCTCATTATTATTATTATTATTTAAAAAACACACCAAAAAAAAAGTTCATTTCCTGGCGAATTTGGCAGCGGCGGGTGACGTCAGAGCCCCGGCGTCGTAGTGACTGGGGCGGCCGGGCCGGGGGGAGGCCGGCTGCGGCTCCCAGCCCCTGGCCCCCAGCGCTGCCCCCATGCCGGGGGGGGTCCGGCCCTAAAAGCCCCCCCCCGGGCACCCCCCGAGGGGCCCGGCACCGCCCGGCCGGCACCGAGCGGCTCCCGGCCCGGCCGCCCCGTCGAGCAGGGGCTGTGCTCCCAGCCGCCCCCCTGCAAAACGGGGGGGGGGTCCTGGCCCCGCTGCCACCCCCCCCGGCTCAGAGGTTTTGGGGGCTGCAGTGATCGCTCCCCTTTTCCCCAAAAAGCAGAGGTTTGAGGAACGGGAGGGGAGCCCCCGGGAAACGACCTGCAGCGGCGCCCATGGTGCTGCGAGGGTTTGGTTCTGACTTTCCCTTTTTTTTTTATTTGTTGGTGGATTCTTAAATTTTTTTTTTCCCCTTTTTGCCCCCAAAGCGGACGGGTTCATGGGGCCGAAGCAGAGCCCCGAGCCCCGCCGGGGGCTGCAGCCCCAAACTCCGCAGCAAACTCGCTCTGAGCCGGGCTGCGCCGCTCCCTGCCCGCTGAAAAGCCTGCCAGTCACTGCAAATCGTAAAACCACTACCAGAAAATAAAATAAAAAATAAATAAAAAATAAAAAGAAGCGAGGGGGAGAGGAAAATAAAACCATCGGGAGATGCTGCGGTTGCCGGGCGCCCTGCTCCTGGCCCGGCACGGCCCGGCTCGGCTCGCCTGGCCCGGTGGGGGCTGCAGCAGCCTCCTGCCAGCCCCCAGCCCCGCAGGCCGGGCAGGGGGGGGGCACGATCTGGGCCCGGGGGGGGGCACCGCAGTGACCCCGCTGCCCGGGGTCGAGGAGGCTCCCCCGGGCCGGCGCGGAGCCTGGCGTTTATTTTTTGATTTTTTTAGTTTTTTAGCCGATCCCGCCGCTTCTTTCCAAGGGACGGGATGGCAACGAGCGCTCCGGGGTTTATCCCGCGGGGGGGGGCTGGGGTTTGTCCCCTCGGTGCCGATTTCATCCCCCCCCCCCCCCCCTCACTCCATCCCCAGCCCCGGGCATCCTTACAGCACCGCTCCGGGGCAGCCCCCGACGGAGCCACCCCCCTCCTCCAGCCCTTCCCGCACTCCATCCCCAACCCCCCCCCAATCCCTCACACCCCTCCTGGACCCCCCCCCCTAATTTCACCGTCCCCGCCCTAGAGGGGCGTGCAGAGCCCGGGCGGGGAAAGCCCCCACGGCGCTGCCGGGCGAGGATGCTGCGGGCGGGGGCAGAGGGGAGAAAGAAGAAGAAGAAGGAGGAGGAGGAGGAGGAGGAGGAGGAGGAGGGAGATGGGGGGTCTGCGCCTCGCTCCCCCTTCTCCCCCCCCTCCGGGCCGGCTCCTTTTGGGGCCGGGGGTGCGGTTGGGGGCGGTGTGGGGCGGCGGGATTGGCTGGCCCGGCCGCCGGCCCTGCGCGCCCCGGCCCGTCTGCGGCGCCGCGGCCAGCTGGCGCCAGCGCTCATATAGGATGCGCGGGGATGGGACCGAGCCGGCCAGAGCAGCGGCTTTGCCATCTGAGTAACACCCTCCAGCCAGCCTCCTCTCCTCCTCCCGCGCTCGCTCTGCTCCCCCCCGAGCCCCCCCTGCTCCCTGCTCTCCGCTCTCCGGCTCCTTCTCTTCTTTTTCTCTCCCCCCCCCCCCCCTTTCCCCCTATTTTTTTTTTTTCCTCCCCTCTCCGCCTCGCTCGCATCCCTCCAGGCAGGCAGCCGTCGGCACCCACCCCGCGGGGGCACCCTGCCTCCCGCACCGGGTAAGTGTGGGGCGCGGGGGGGCCGCCGTGCCGCTGCCAGGGCGCGCTCGCTGCTTTCTCTAAACACCCTTTCCCCCCCCCACGCTCCCGTTTCTCTTTCTCCCCCCCTCCAATTTTCCTTTTGTGTCAGGCGAAGTTCTCGCTAGAACTCCGCCGTGGTAGATCTGCCCTTCTTCCTTCCCCCCCCCCCCTCCCCTTTTGAAGCCAGCTGGAAAAACTCCTGTTGACGTTTGTAGCGAGAGCGGGGGGAAAAGGGAGAAAAAAAAAAAAAAAAAGGAAGATTTTTCTTGCTTTTTCCCCCTTTTTTTTTCTTGGTAAAGTTTGAAACGGGATCTGTGTTTATTTTGCGGGGCAATGGGAAGGGAGGGCGCAAGGCGAGGACTTTTGGGGGGGGGGGGGGGAAGAGGATATTTTGGGGAGGGAGGAGGGGCTCCGCTTCCCCCTCCCCATCCTTTTACCGCCGGGACCAGCAGCGCACCTCGGGGCTGCTGAGCCGCTCACCCGGCCGTGTCTCCCTACAGGTGCTGTCCCCGGACCTGCCTCCGCGACCTGCCCGCTGCCAGAGGGCCACGCCAGCTCCGGGGGTCTCCCCCCATCATCCCTCCGAGGGCACCCTCCAGCCCCCCGACGGCGTTCTTTCCAGAAAAGCCATCCCCACCTCCTAAGAGCCACCGGTAGCTCCGCCAGCCAGCCGTGGGCAGCAGCCCCCTGCCCCGAGCGCCGCTCGCTCCCGGTTTCGGGGGTGGCTGGGAGGGGAGGCCCGAGGCCATGGAGGTGGCCACGGACCAGCCTCGCTGGATGACCCACCACGCCGTGCTCAACGGGCAGCACCCCGAGAGCCATCACCCCGGACTGGCTCACAACTACATGGAACCAGCGCAGCTCCTACCTCCGGACGAAGTCGACGTCTTCTTCAACCACCTGGACTCCCAGGGCAACCCCTACTACGCCAATTCCGCCCATGCCCGGGCCAGGGTCTCCTACAGCCAGGCACACGGTAAATGAGCCCTCGCCGCCCTCCTCTGCACCCCTAGCCCCTTCCCCACCCTCCTCTGCCTGCGCTCCCTGGGCTCTTCCGTGCGGGCCGGCGGATGTCCTACGTGGAGGCGAGGAGTTGCACCCGGGGGCCGCTCTGGTGCGTCGGGGCCGGGGGGAAAGGAGCTCGAAGAAAACAGGATAGAAAGGGAGGCACGGGTGGATTTTAACCCCGGCGATGACCAAGCTATTGGCGGAGGGGAGGGAAAGAAGGGGAGGGCGAGAGAGGAAGGGGAAATAGTGCGCGCACACAGGGTAAAACTTCGCAGACACGGCTACTTCCCGGATGCAAAATACAAACCAATTTGAATCGGCGATGGATTTTAATCGGGGGTGGTTTTAGGAGCTGAAGAGAGAGCGCTGCAGCAGTTCGGAAGACAGAGCAGAAGGGGGTTTGCTAATTATTGCCAGGGTGGGGCGGGAGGAGAGGGGGTGCCTTCCTCCTGCCCCTTGTGCTGCTGCCCAGCTCTTCCTCACCAAGCTTTCCTGGGCTGTCCGGTGTCCCCCTCGGAGGGGTCTGGGAGAGGGGGCTGTTGCACCAGGCTGGCTGCTCTTCCCTGGGTTGTGAAACCTCTCCCCAATGCCCGGCTCCCCTCTGGCTGCCCGCAGAGCGGGGAGCTCCCCGGGCTGGGGGCTGGGAGATTTCCCAGAGCTGCTCCGGGCTGAGCTGCCCCACGCTGATCCCCATCGCTCTTGTGTTCCTACAGCCCGCCTGACCGGGAGTCAAATGTGCCGGCCTCATCTTATCCACAGCCCCGGGATCCCTTGGTTGGACAGCAGCAAGGCGGCACTGTCTGCCCACCACCACAACCCCTGGACCGTCAACCCCTTCACCAAGACACCCCTGCACCCCTCGGCGGCCGGCGCGCCCGGGGCCATCTCGGTGTACCCCGGCAGCAGCACGTCCAGCACCGCCTCCGTGTCTTCGCTCACCCCGGCCTCGCACTCCGGCTCCCACCTCTTCGGCTTCCCCCCAACCCCTCCCAAGGAAGTGTCCCCGGACCCCAACTCCACCAGCGCTGCCTCCCCTTCGTCCTCCGCTGGGGCCCGGCAGGAGGACAAAGACAGCATCAAGTACCAAGTGTCGCTGTCGGAAGGGATGAAAATGGAGAGCGCCAGCCCGCTCAGAAGCAGCCTCACCAGCATGGGGGCCCAGCCCTCCACCCACCACCCCATCCCCACCTACCCCTCCTACGTGCCGGCTGCCCACGACTACAGCAGCAGCCTCTTCCACCCGGGCAGCTTCCTGGGGGGCCCCGCGTCCAGCTTCACCCCCAAGCCACGAAGCAAGGCCAGATCCTGCTCGGGTAAGCGTTGCCTCCCGCGGGCTGCCCCGCCACACGTTGGCTTTATCCCTGGGGTGGAAGGAGAGAGGTTAGGGCCGCTCTGCGGGGTGTTGGAGTGCATGTTGGGGGTGGCTTGGCTGGATGTTTGGGGCTGGAGGCGCAGGCAGCTGCAGGGCCGGGTGTTTGTGTCAGCTTTATTTGGGACGGGAGGGCAGGTGACTGCTCGGTCCCGCTTTTCTGGGTTTTTAAAGTAGGAAATTGGGGTTGTACCAGGGTGCCATCGTCTTGGTGTCGTGGTTGCTGGCCTCAGGGTGCTCAGATGGGGCCGAGGGACACGGGAGCCGGCACAGCGTGAGCTGGCAGCCTGAATTGTACAAAGAGGGATTTATACAAGGAAAAAATGTAAAAGCAGCCCCTGGCAGGCTGCAGCCCCCCGAGGGGTTCAGGCCTGATCCTGCCCTCCCAAAGTGGTTAAACCTCCCCCCCAGATTCCACGTGGGGACTTTCTGCCCGTAGATATTTCTCCTGCAGTAATTTTCACGTCTCTTCGTTAATACGAAAGAAGGCCCCAGCGCAGGATGAAAGCGAAACTTACCCGGCCGGTCCGCTTCAGATCGCGGAGGGCCTGATTTCCTTCACAATTTAGAGGAACAAAAGTTCAAATATAGTTTACATACCAGTGCAAAAGACTAAGGTGTCCAGTCATCGCTAACTTACGCCAGCCTAAATCCAGAAAATCCTCCTCTTTTCCTGAACCAGACATCTCTCTGCTTCCTAATAACTGACTGCAGACCTTTCCCACACCCACAGCCCTGCCTCGCATTTCTGCCTAAAAGTGCAGTTCCAAATTAGCAAATTAGGTGATGGATGAAATTCTGATCCCACTTTGAAATCACATTAGCTGTACAACTAGACAGATGAATTAAGGAAATTTGTCTGAGTCCACTAACCTTCCTGGTGAAAACATCCTCAGCAACAGAAGGAAATGAAAGAATGTGTATTGGTACCGAATTGAGACAGCCCTTTAAAAATAAGTGGCTATCTGTGCCGGTGTGTGAATTCTTACATATCATTGCATACATCGGCTTATGAGTAGACCACATGCATTTATTTTTAAAGCAGACTTATTTAGAAATGTGATCTCTTATCTGATGTTTTTGTTGCAAAACTCATATTTTACAATCTCATCAGATCTGTTTCAAATGGCTACTCTGAGAGGCAAAACACTCTCCCCTTCCATTATTTACATGCATTCCATTATTTACCATTATGTGTATGTATTTTTTAGTACTGTAGAAACTAGTAAGTAAAGGAAATTAGCAGCCTGAGTCTCCTGATTTTGGAAGTAAATTCAAGACTCAGGTCTCTGAAGATAAAGGGATCTCAAGTAGCTTTTTTATTTTCATCCTGTAGTTGCCGATGATTTTATTAAATGGGAGAAATTAGGGGAACTTTTTGTGTGTGTGCTTTTTTTTTTTTTTTTCCTGTAAGGGAGCCCCCTGTGCAAGGAACTGGGGAAAGTTCGTGACCACTCAGTGTTTTTGTAGGAAAACTAAGACTCACGACACAACGACTCCTGCAGCTTCCTGCCCTAGGAGGGACAAAAGCTACAAATGCAGCGCCGCAGAGCTCCCCTCATTTTTCACTGTAGACTGTGTTGTTTAAAAGCCACCCACTCCCTAGATTAAAGGAGACACAACCCTGCTGAACTCAATGTGGCCTGCTTCAGTTATTAGCAAAAAGAGAATTTCCTTTCCAGTTAAATACTTCAGGATTTGCATAAACTATATTAAGAGAGATTTCTATATTAAGCAGACCTGCCTTCGAACCATCAGAGGCAAATGAACTTTTAGCAGAGGGCTTTCTGAGGCAGAAACATCTAGGAGTTGCATGCTGGGTTTAACAGAGCCATTCTACAATGCTGTTTCCCATGTTGTTGTGCTACTAAAACTACTAATAAAGCAGTAACACGGTGAACTGTTCCCTACCAAATCCAAACTGCATTGTTGGAAAGTCACAGGAACAGAAAAGAACTCGCAGCTTCTTTTTTACAGTAATTTCCAGAGTGCTTGCTGAAACTGAACTTTCTTAAAGATCAGCATTAACAGCGGCTTTCTGCCTTTAGCACAAAAATCCTAACTGAGCCTTTGGCATTGTGTATCTATTCCCAGTCTGCTCGGCTTTACTCTCCTACCCGGTAGTGCTTGCAACAAAAAAAGAAAGCACAGCAAAGGAGGTCCTTTTGCTTAGATTTAACTCTAGAAAGCCCCTCTCTTCAGTTTTTTTTTTCTTTACCATTTTATTTTATTTTTTAACATCTTGTGAGCTTGCAGGTGTGTGCTTGTGTACACGTGTGTGTGTATTCATGGCAGGGGAACATGCAATCTAACCACTGCCGTGCAATAGATACGGGAGGGGAGCGGTGCCCGCTGCAGATTAAGGGAGTTCTCATTACCGAAACGATAACTTCCATCTGACACAATAAGAGTGTCATTCTTTCTCACCTTGTGCAGAGCATGAGCTGCCTATTTCTGCTCGTGACATAAAATACTTACCGGCGTCTGGGCGTTCTCGAAACGCTGAGGTCCTTGCTGCATGTGCTGTAGATGTCACTGCTGTCTGACTGTGCTTGAATTAACACGCTGTTTTGACTTGTGGAAAATGCCTAAAGGACAATGCAAAAAGCTTTTGTGAATTTGTTTTTAAAGAAAGAAATCCGGTTTCTTCGTGTTTCCATTTAGAAGGCAGAGAGTGTGTGAACTGTGGAGCAACTGCTACCCCTCTCTGGAGAAGAGACGGCACCGGGCATTACCTGTGTAACGCCTGCGGGCTCTACCACAAAATGAACGGTCAAAACCGACCTCTCATTAAACCTAAGCGGAGGCTGGTAGGTGTCTCTATCTTTCCTGGGTTTGGGGAAAAATCGGGCTAAAGGGACCACACGCAGGCACGAGGCAAACGTGTCTCGGTGCTGCTCAGCCCCTGTGCGGATGGGACTCAGTCACGCCGAGGTCACTGCCGTGCCTCGGGGCAGATCCCCCGCACGCAGCCCCGGCCGGGCCATCCCTGCCGCCACAGCCCGGCGAGCGTGCCTCCTTCCCCAGCCTCCCCGCCGCACCAAATGCACGCGGGGTATCGCGTATCCATCTCCCCGTTTATCCTCGGATGACAGCTTTTAATTTAATTCCTCATTTATTTGGCCTCTTGGGACGTTTTGGGGAGCGTCCTGGGAGCGAAAGGGTTATGAGCGTGAATGTCCTCTACTGTGGACTAAAAAAAAAAAAAGTTCCAGCTCTAAAAAAGCAAAACAAATCAGATGAGTCAAAGCTACTGCTCCCTACTTAATAATTATTTGTATAAAAGCCATGAAGTAATTTTCACTCTTATATTCTCTGGCAATATTAATATTGGTTCCCTCCCCAGACAATCCCCTACTGTTTAAAAAAAAAAGTCCGATTATTTTTCCATGGAGTCACCTATACTTTGTATTTTCATTTGAGTGATTTAAAAAAAATGTCCTTTCTAAGCTCCTGGTAGTAGTTTCCTATCCGGATATCTGTACGTTAAAGATAAGGAAACTTTGTGTATCTGTTTCCTGACTCTAAAAGCTTTAGAGAGTTTCTATAGGCAAGCCTTGCCAGTCATGCTTGCTGTTTTGAAATTTCTAATACACTCTATTCCACAAATAATGTGTAAAATGCTAAGAATAATAAATATATTTTTTTGGAGCTTTGTGATTTATGGTGCCTAAGACTCTTAGCTATTCGTGGACACATTTAAATGAGGTCTGGAAACCAGCGGAGAGCAGAAAAATTGGCATTGCTGCTCTAACACTAGGATGGGATACAGAAGATTTCTGTCCCGAGTCAGAATTTCAACTATG